CCTTCATCCGTGTCCATCGGAATCTCCAAGACCCATTTTTTAATCTCCAAAAATTTAAACTCTTGGAAGGAGGAAACCAAGACACACCTGGGTGGCTCAGTTGGTTGAGCGTCCAACTTTGGCTCAGGTCATGATCTCACGGTTCATGAATTTGAGCCCCACATTGGGCCCTCTGCTGTCAGCACAGAGCCAGCTTTGGACCCTCTGTCCACCTCCCTCTGCCTCTACCTTGTGTGCATGTGCATCCCTGCATTCAAAAATAGACAAACATTTTAAAAAGTAGGAAACCAAATCCTTATATTTACACCCATCATTGCCTTATGGATAGTAAGCACCAAGCAAATGGTGAATAAATAAATAATTATATGTCAGCCCTTTTTATCCACTATTCCTAAATATAACCAAAAATAGCTATATGCGCCAGGTAAAGAGGCCTTCCATTTGTACAGTGTTTCAGAGTTATCAAAGTTCATGTCATAGCAGCCTAGAACACCTAATCTGGAACTGGACTGTCAGAGTCCCAACTGCTGCTGCCACTTAGCAGCTGTGTGACCTTGGGCAAGTTAGTTAACCTCTCTATGCCTTTCTTTTCTCTTCTGTATGACAGAGAGAATACAGTTACATACCTCCTAAGAGTTTTTAGAAAGACTAAATAAGCTATTATTTATAAAATGTTTAGAATGGTGTCTGGCACATAGTAAGCATTATATAATGCTTCTTTAGCTAAATACATATATTTTATAGATATGTGTTAATGGTCTACGTTATATACATACCTACACACATAAGTATTCAGTAAAGTTTGTTACACGCACACACACCTAGAAACACACAATTGAGTGTCCACAATGACCCTGTAAGGTGAGCAGAAGTGTAAAATAAATTCCCCATACCTGGTAAGTGGTAGACCCATTCCTGGAACCGTGTTTTCTACTTGTGTGACAACATCAGAAAATAGTAAAGCCTTAAGCCACTGATCTTCTCCAGACACATAGTTTTCAGATACATAATGATGTCATGACACTAAATATTAAAATTTACTATAGATATTTTAATTATTTTGACTTAAAGTCCAGGAGGAGTGTCAGATACATTATATGAGTCTGTCAATAAGGAAAAAAATATTAATAGCTTCTGTGCAAAAGTTTTTGCATAGGATTTCACAAGTGCAAAGATGTGGCCACTTTCTACTTTATTCTTCTACAGTTAAGGAAAGATGGAGTAGGAAAGATAAATTGAGTGTGTTCCATGGAGAATTATGCATGAAGTTTTAGTAGAGAAGAATTCAAATAGGAAAATATGTTATCGGAGTATATTTAAATGGATATATGACTATCGTGTCATTTGGTATGCAAATACTTGTGTTTGCATTAAGCTGGTGGAGAACCTATTATTTTCTTTGCAGTACATGTAAAAAAGGCACCTTTAAAAAATAAAAGCTTTCTTCTACTTTGAAAAAGAGAAGACTGTCTGTTATTTTATTTTAAATACAAAACACATTTAACTGCTGTCAACAGCTTACATTTTAAATAATGCAATTTGTACTTGCATTCATTATCTGCAATTAGAGTTCTAAAAAGCTTTCAGTGTTCTTCTCCTCAACTTTTAAAATTCATTCATTGTCATTGTTAACATTTTAGGAAATAGTGGAAACCTTAAGTTGCATTGCAGAACTGAACAAAGAAATATCCTTCTGGAAATTACCATCCAACTAGATAGAAAACCCTCAGCTATTGTGCTGAACCAAGTTATCATGAGATGTTTACACCCTTTTCTTGCCAGTGTTAGGTCAAGAATGTTTTCCTCTTAGGGCTTCTAGATGGCTCATTTGGTTAATAAGCCTCTGACTCTTCGTTTCAGCACAGATCATGATCTCATGGTTTGTGAGATCCAGTCCCACATCAGGCTCCATGCTGACAGCATGGACCCTACTTTGGATTCTCTCTGTCTCTCTCTTTTTCTCTCTCTCTCTCTGTTTCTCTCTCTCTCTCTCTCTCTGCCCACCCCCTCAAAATAAATAAATAAATAAATATTTTTTAAAAAGAGAATGTTTTTCTTTTAACCCAGTCTAGTTTATAAGAACACCATGCTGGCAGCCAGCTCAGTGTCCTTAGTTCATAAGGCTTAGTTTCTGCAAATCACTTACCTACACTGCTTCACAGCATCTAAATAAAGCAAGAGTTCGAGTCTTCAGGATGTTTTTAAAATAAATAATTCTCAGATACCCGTGGCTGTCTGGAATACCTTTTCATCTATGTATGATGGGAGTCACAGGTTCTCATTTCTTCCTGAGTATTAGCAAGAAGAATACAGACAGCCGAGCAGCTGTGAATGAGTGTGTGTGTGTGTGTGTGTGTGTGTGTGTGTGAGAGAGAGAGAGAGAGAGAGAGAGAGAGAGAGAGGTTTTTTCTTTCACCCTCTCTTTAAAGATGTAATTGGAACCAGGACCTAATGGTGTATGGGTTTGCTGCAGGCAGGGTATACAAACAGAGCCAAACTTAGAAATGCAAGGTGTGTAGTACATTCATTGACCTCACTGTTTGCCCAGCTGTAGGGTTACTCCCTTTTTATTCCCCAGCTGCCCAGCTGCATCTCAGTGCTATTTTATTTTTCTTTTAAACTGGAGTAACCAATGAAACCTCTCCTGGACAGGGTTGATAATTACTAAAAACAGACAACTTCGCAATTACACACAGCTCAGAAAAAACTGCCACGCTTTGTACTTTAGCCCTTACTTTGTTCTTGTTCAACAATGCCTTTTAGCTTACCTTAAAAAGGTATATATTGCAGTGATGCTTCTGGTTTCCAAACTATTTTAAAATTCATCTTTTGAAATGAAAAAAATCAAGTTCCTTATTTCAAAATGTGACATTAAATCTCTTCTTAACAACTACATTTTAGTTATAGAATTGGCCCCAAATAACTTCTGGTTATATATGAATGAAATAAAATCTATTTTATGTGGATGCGAATTTGACATAATTTGTGGAAAAGTGCCTCCACAGATAAGCGGGTGCTGAATTCTAGTTTGTTCCTTGATAGGTCAGTTGCACTGGACCTTACTGTTGTTTCTTTTTTTTTTTTTTTTAATTTTTATTTATTTCTAGGAGAGAGAGAGAGACAGCGTGAGCAGGGGAGGGTCAGAGAGAGAGGGAGTCACAGACTGAAACAGGCTCCAGGCTCTGAGCTGGCAGTCAGCACAGAGCCCGACGCGGGGCTCGAACCCACGGACCGCGAGATCATGACCTAAGCGAAAGTCGGACGCTTAACCGACTAAGCCACCCAGGCGCCCCTACTGATGTTTCTTTTAAGGAGTATAAATGTGCTTAAGGTAAACAGATTTCAGCATTGGCCCCGATGTCTGACTCTGCTTATAAAAGCAAGTTGAAATTATATTGGAAAATCTGTGAATGTTGTTCTGTGTCTAAAAAAACAGGGATTATATACAGATATAATAGCTACTGTAAGAGTAAATATACTTATTTGTTATTTGAGAAAATGTTTATTAAACACTTGTGTTTTCTAAATGCTTTGGAAAATAACTACACACATCAGGTTTTTCAGATTAGCAGAGTATTAAATTGGAAGTTTGTGTCAAAGCCTCAAAAATGTGCAGACTGTCTAACTCTGCAATTCTCCTCTGAAAAGGTACCATAAGACATATGATAATTTTGTGCACAAATATTTCTGTGGCCATAATATCAAAATGTTAGAAATTTAAATTTTATTGAATTTAACAAAATTAGTTGAGAATTGTTTATGTACGTTTAGAACATACATGGAAAGGATACATTAAATTTTTTATTTTCTATATATTCCTAAATGTATTAAAATGCAACTTAGGTGTATCATTTATAAAAGAAGAAATAGGATATGTATAAAAGATTTCAGCACAATTTTCTTTATAAAGCAAAAAGTTGATATATCCTAAAATGTTCAACAAATGAAAATTAGTCAAGTTGTGTCCAGTCATATAAAGAAATATTATACAGGGGCTCCTGGGTGGCTCAGTCAGTTAAGCATCCGACTTCGGCTCAGGTCATGATCTCACGATTTGTGGGTTTGAGCCCCGCGTCGGGCTCTGTGCTGACAGCTAGCTCAGAGCCTGTAGCCTGTTTCAGATTCTGTATCTCCCTCTCTCTCTGCCCCTCCCCCGCTTACTCTCTCTCTTTCTCTCAGAAATAAAGCATTAAAAAAAAAGAAATATTACATAGCCCTTAAAAATATTTTTAGAAGAACACTTAGTGTTATAGAAAAGCAATACTAAATGAAAAAACAATATAGAAGGTTAAAAATAGCTACTACAGTATGGTACAAATTTTTAAAAGGAGAAATATGTGTCATTTTCAGATAAAGAAATGTGTATGTGTGTCTGTGTGTTTTCGTAGGATAACAACCAAGTGACTGTACCAAAAATCCTAACAGTAGTCATCACTGTGTGCTTTTTATATTTTCTTTTTTTGTGTCATATGTTTTCTACGTTGATCATAAAGTATAACTTTGTGGTCAGAAAAACAATTTTCTTAAACTATGTATGAACTTTAATATTTACATTTTGCATTTTGGCAAGTAGACTTTATAAAAGAAATACTCTTTAGTAAAAGCTGTACTAATTTGGAGTTTTTTATAATTCCAAGGTTGGGGTAAAATTTATCCATGAATAATGGTTTATCTGCAGATTAATAATGCAGAGATTTTAGAGGACACTTTTAAGCTTAAGGGAACTTTTCAAGTGCACTGAAAGCATGCATAAAGCTCTATAAATCATTTTTTCATCAAAGCCTATCCCCTAAGTGCCTCTTCCTGGCTGGTGAATTTGCATATTTCTCTTTCCTTATGTAGACGCAATAGTCCATAATTCATCTCCTTGACTAACAGTCTGGCTTTCCCCCTGCCAGTTGTAAGGTGATATTTTTAACATATTCCTCATATAATGGCTTCCATTCACCCTCTGAGTTACAGACAGGCATCTTGTAACAATTTGGGTCACATTTTCACAGGTGATGAAAACATACCATATGTATCATGCAGAGAGCATCAGCGCAGAGAGCAAGCTGAAAGAGGCTGAGAAACAAGAAGAAAAGCAAATTGGAAGATCTGGTGATCCGGTCTTTCATATTAGACTGGAGGAGAGACATCAGCGGCGAAGCTCTGTAAAGAAAATTGAAAAGATGAAAGAAAAAGTAAGTAAAAACATTACAGAGCCTTTCTGTCCTCAGTTGAGGTGACGGTGCTAAGAACACTGTTGGAATAACTGATAGACACACATTATAAATTGTGAAACGACACACATTTCCTCCAACGGGAATGAAAAATGTTTAAGAAACATAAAATTCATGTAATAACAGCTGGACATCATTTAGTGTTGCATGCCAAGTATTCAACACACAATGTGGAGGACTTGAATATCATTAACAAAGAGATTTCATTGCAAATGGGCCTGAAGCTTAATACATTGTTGGGTACTTTTAGTTATTTAAATCAGTTTCAAAATGTACTTTTCTCAGAGGACTTCAAAAGGTCATTTGTGTATGTAGAATACATTGTTTAAATTAATAGAAAGTATATATATTTCTGTGCCTACATGACTTTGCTCTTTCCCAATGGATCTTCTTCGTTTTCAGAGACAAGCAAAGTATTCGGAAAATAAGCTAAAATCAATTAAGGCGCGGAATGAATATCTCCTAACCCTTGAAGCAACCAATGCCTCAGTTTTCAAGTATTATATTCATGATCTTTCAGATTTAATTGACGTAAGTACTTGAAATTTTTATATTTTCTATATTTAAAAAAAATTTTAACTTATTTATTTTAGTGATCTCTCTGTCCAATGTGGGACTTGAACCAACAACCTCAAGATCACTCACTCTTCCAGGGTGCCTGGATGGCTCAGTCAGTTGAGTGTCTGACTCTTGAGTTTGGCTCAGGCCATGATCTCATGGTGTAGGAGTTTGAGCCCAGCGTCAGGCTCTGCACTGTCAGCACAGAGCCTGTTTGGGGTTCTCTCTCTCCATCTCTCTCTCCATCAAAATAAATAAATAAACTTAAAAAGAAAAAAGAGAGAGAAAGAGTTTTCTCTCTTCCAACTGAGCCAGCCTGGCACCCCTCTATTTTCCATATTAACATGTAACTAGCAATAACTATTTTATTGATTCGAAAATACCATCATTTCTGAAACCAATGTTATTTCATGTAATACTCAGAAAAAATGCTGCCAGTTAAATTGTACATGATACCAAGACACCGTCGATTCTAAGATGCATGTGAAAAAGTGTGCATCCCAAAACCAGTAGAAAGCAAATTATTAAGTTCTGTAAAGCTCTGATGCCTGGTAACCTCAGCTGGGAAGGGGACCCAGGCATCTTTAAATTATGGGATGACACAACCCTAACTGCATTCATTGATTCAGAATATATTTCTTGGTGGGCCGCCTGGGTGGCTCAGTCAGTTAGGCATCCAACTTGGGCTCGGGTCATGATCTCACAGTTCATGGATGTGAGCTCCGCATCGGGCTCCATGCTGACAGCTCAGAGCCTGGAGCCTGCTTCTGATTCTATGTGTGTGTGTGTGTGTCTCTCTCTCTGTCCCTCCCCTACTTGCACTTTCTCTCACTCTCTCTCTCTCAAATAAATAAACATTAAAAAAAAAAAAACACATTTCTTGCTTATTTCAGTGCCTTGGTGGCTCAGTTGGTTAAGTGTCCAACTTTGGCTCAGGTGATGATCTCACAATTCGTGGGTTCAAGCCCCACATCGGGTTCTGTGCTGACAGCTCAGAGCCTGAAGCCTGCTTCAGATTCTATATCTCCCTCTCTCTGTCTGCCCCTCCCTCTGTCTGCCCCTCTGTCTCCCTCCCCCTCAAAAATAAATAAACATTTAAAGAATACATTTCTTGGGCCCTACTGTTGTGAGATGCTGAGGCTTTGAGAAGCATATACAATTCTTTTTCTTTTTTTCTTTTAATTCCAGGTAGTTAACATCCAATATTATATTAATTTGAAGTGTATGATATTATGACATAACAGTTCCATCCACCACCGTGTGCTCATCACAAGTGCACTTCTTAATTTCCATCACCTATTTTATCCATTCCCCACCCCCAAGCATATACACTTCTTCAGGAATGGAAAGTGGAAAAGACAGATACTAAGCAAATGACTACACACATGATAGCTTTGTTCCTAGTTGTGGCAAATACTATAAGCAAAATAGAGTGGACTGAGACCACATTTTTAAATTTATCCAACTCTGTATTTCTCTCCAAGGATATGCTGTGCAAAGCAGTAATTGGGCTCGTTCCGAACCCTCCCAAGTCTATATGCAGTGTTACGTTCACGCAGTGATTACTGCTGCGACTCCCCACCTGTAACGCCCAGCATTATGCTTTCATTCAGAAAACCTGAATGAATAAGTAGCACAGTCACTTTGCAGACACTGTAGGAGACGGCAGAGGTGACACAGACAGAAACCCCAGTCCAAAAACACCCACATCTGCAAATAAAAGAAGAAAAGCAATGTGTCATAAGAAAAGCACAGGTGAAGTGACAGAGGTTCAGAGAGTTTACTGCTGGAAATCTACTCATGTGCTGCTCTGTGTTGATTGAATTCAACAATTTAAAGATATAAATTTTTTTCCTGTGGCTTATAGCATCATAATTTAGATATATAGTAGGTCAAAGCAACTTTATTTTTATGGACAATTTAAATCTCATTTACCTATTTTAGAACCACAGTTTGGGACTCTTGCAAAAGGATTGTTAAGTAAGGGAATTATGTTTTAGTTTATTAACACTCTGATGTGCCTTTTTAAAAAAAGTTTATTTATTTTTGAGAGTGAGCAAACAGGAGAGGGGCACACAGAGAGGGAGAGAAAGAGAATCCCAGGCAGGCTCTGCACCGTCAGAAAGATGCTTAACCAACTGAGCCTCCCAGGCACCCCTGATATTTATCTGTTTGGAGGGAGGGAGGGAGAATCCCAAGCAGTGTGGAGCCCAGCATGGCACTCGAACTCACAAGTTGTAAGATCATGACCTGAGCCACCCAGACTCCCTGATGTGCCTTTTTTTAAAAAAAAATTTGAGTCTAAAAACAGTTATATCCTCTACTGTCATAATTTCTTTATACAGAACCCTTTAGTAATAAAACCAGGAAAAACCTTTTTCTCTTCCTTTCTTACAAGTATTTTAGTCAAGTAATTAATTTTCCTATAGCACTCTGATGAAATGAAAAGAATTTTTTTCCTGCTAGACTGCTAAGTTTTCTGAATAAAAAATGAACACTTTTATAGCCCCTGTTTTCAAACTTAGATTTGCAAGAATTCTGTGAAATATATAGAATATAGAGCTAATTCTTTGTAACTACTCCATTTGCTTATTTTTTGGTTTAGGGCTTATTTTTGGAGTACTTGGCTAGGCTCGAATGAGTTTAACATAAGGAAAAGTCTCCATATACTGAAAAGTATTTTTTAACACCTGCAAAGTGCCAAGCACTCTTTTTGACAATGGGGATCCAGCAATGAACAAAACAAAGTCCATGTCTTCTTAGAGTTTACGTACTTGTTAAGGAGTCAGCTCATAAACATATTTACACAAACACACACACACACATACACACACACACCACACACACACACACACACACTATATAGTAGTGACAGTGCCATAAATGAAAAGCACTATTGGGGTACTTCTTTTGATGGTATTCAGGAAAAGCCTGGTATTGGAGCAGAGAAGTGAGCTGGAGAGCCCTGTGCCTATATGGGGAAGGAATCCCTCATATAGAAGGACTGGCAAGGCTCAAGGTATAGAGGCCATGATGTGTTTGGCAAGCTGAAGATGCTCAAGAAATAGCAAAGAATGGAGTAAGTGAGGAGGAAGGTTCTGTAAGAGAATGTAGGCAGAAACCCAATTATTTAGGGTCACTTGGACAGAGAAAGGGGTTTAGATTGTGTTGGAAGTGTGGTGGGAAGCCTTGAGGGATTTTACTCAGGGAAGAGTTTACATTTTAAAGACTCACTCTGGCATCTGGGTGGAAGACAGACTGAGGCAAGTGAGGAGGACAAGGGTGAATACGGCAAGCTGTATCTAGAGTCTTTGGTCATTGTCCAAGCTAGAGATGGTGCTGGCTTGGACTAGCACAGTAGCAATAGACCTGAGAGAAGTGGTTGGTTGGATTCAAAATAGAGAAGGTAGAGTTAATAGGAATTTGATATAGTAGTTGAAAAGAAAGATAAACATGCCTCCCAGGTTCAGGTCCTGAGTATCTTGGTTAATGGTAGTGCCTTTGACTGAGTTGGGGACCCTGGGGAGAAGTGGGACGAAGGTCAGAGAGCCCTAGTTCTCTTGTTACCTCTAGTAAGATTGAGATAGCCATTGGCTGTCTGGGGAGATGTGCAGTAGCATTCTCAATATGACTGGCATGTATAGGACAGGACTAGCATTTCAGGACAGTCACCATCATAGTGTCTACTTAACATAAATGAGTTAGAAAAAAGCTTAGGGTGGAAAGCCGCCACCACAGAGTGAAAAACACCGGAGGTTAGCTAGCAAGATATTGTAGTGGGATCATGAGTACTTTCCATCTGACCCCAATATACTGTTGTACTTTGATCACAGACTCCAGTTGCCCCCCAGACCCTTTGCTTCTTCCACAAGTTAATGATTACTGTCTGATTGTTTTCTCCACGTTCACTGTGTAAGATCTTGTTTTCTTCATGTTTACCATGTGGGTGATATGTTGTGAGCTCAATAAATACAGAGCCAAAACCCCTGTTCGGGGCTCTTGTCTCCAACTGGACATTAGCCTCTTGTATTCAATTCTGTATCCACAGGCAAGAGAGGGACAAGAGAGAAGTCTAGATTCCTAGTCTGCGACAGTCACTGTCATGGATATTTATTGAGCTCTTAGTATATGAAGGGCAGGTTTCTACATATAATCTCACTAATTCATCACAAACCTCATGAGGTAAATACTATTTTCTGCATTTTATAGATTAAAGCATTGAGACTTAGGTAGGCCAGATAGCTTGTTGAAGGTTACACAGTTAGGAAGTGTGGTGGCTTCAAACTCAGACATTTAACCTCCCAATCTAATTAACTCTGATGTAAGTAAGTAATGGTTAAATATATTGGGTAATTTTCAGTTTTAAATAAGGATGGACTTTTAAAAGATCAGTCTTAAGTTTAAAATGTGAGTAATTCTCAGAGTGCCTGGGTGGCTCAGTTGGCTAAGCGTCCAACTTCAGCTTAAGTCATGATCTCACAGATTGTGGGTTTGAGCCCCACATTAGGCTCTGCACTGACAGTGTAGATGGAGCCTGCTTGGGATATTCTCTCTCTCTCTCTCTCTCTCTCCCCCCCCCTCTTATCCCCCCCTTTTTCTCTGTCCCTCCCCCGCCTTTCAAAAAATAAATAAATAAAATGTGAGTAATTTGCAAATAATACAACTTCATTATGAATTTTATTTTATTTTATTTTATTTTTTAAATGTTTTTATTTATTTCTAGGAGAGAGAGAGAGACAGCGTGAGCAGGGAGGGTCAGAGAGAGAGGGAGTCACAGACTCTGAAACAGGCTCCAGGCTCTGAGCTGGCAGTCAGCACAGAGCCAGACGCAGGGCTCGAACCCACGAACCGCGAGATCATGACCTAAGCGAAAGTCAGACGCTTAACCGACTAAGCCACCCAGGCGCCCCTCATTATGAATTTTAAAAGAAATGATAAGAAATGGGTTTGTTGTCCTACTCAATTGATATTGA